CAGGCAGGCTCTATCTTTTCTACCCATGGATTATTTCTGGTCCTTCTGAATTCTGAATCTTAGGGAGTTTTATTTTTATTTGGATTGAACCAACTCTTGATATCTTAGAAGATTGTTTCTAAGACCCCCATGGATGCCAAAAGTCTGTAGATACTCATGTCATTCACATATGTGTATATCTATACATACATGCATAAATATATGTGTATCTTTCTGTATATCTCTCTCCCTATATCATTTCTAGATGACTTCTAATACCTAATCCAATGTAAGTGTTATGTATATATTTATGTATATATACATAAGGACATATAAGGACAAGAAAAAATATGCACATGTTCAGTTCTGAAGCAATTAAAATTTTGATCTGGGGTTGGTTGAACCCACAGACACAGAACTCACTAGTGCAGGGGGTGACTGTAAGTATGGATGGACACAAGTTTACCAAAAGATGTAGATTTACCACAACTTTCACCCCAAACCCTGGTGGTGGCCTTCCTTCTTAGGCAATTAAAAGTTGTATTTTAACAGTTCGTCAACCTGAGAGCTACTTCCTCTTGGAGCCATTTTACTAGACATCTAGGGTGAGCAACTATTCTCATTTCCTGCCATCTTCCCAGTTTCAGTACTGGAAGTTCTGTGTCTTTGGAAATCCCTCAGACTGGAGCAAATCAGTATCATTTATTTCTCTAGGCCTAGCCCCAGGTTTGGACTTCTAATCTGCACTGATGAACTTTCTAAAAGTGGGCAGAAAGAGGGACTTGCTAGAAAAATAGTGAAAATCTCCACCCCAAATTTCTAGTCACAAAGATGCGTTTCAAAAATAAATAAATAAATGAGTAAACCAACTATCTTTGCCAGGCAAGAAATGGTTTCCTTACATTGGAGGGATAACTTACCTAATGTGTGGAGAAAATTAAACCATGCCTCAAATCTGCCTAACATAAGTACCCCTACAGTGAAGTTCTGAGATCTTAAATGATCCCCCTTCATTTCCACATTTCTCAGCCTAATAAATAATGCAACATGTGACAGGTAGACATAACAGCATAAAATAAAAACCCTCACATTTCTTTGGTCTTATTCAAAGCTTTGTATCCTTTATGCTCTAGGCAAACTCTCCAGAGCTGGGGAAATGCCAAAAGCAGCAAACCCTCCAAAGGTCACACCTGTAGCACCACAAAGTCTAGCCAGGAAAAGGACCATTAGATTTCAACCTGTCTGCATTGCCAAACACTCGCAGAAAACAAAAAAGGTTCAGTACCTAGGACCTACAGATCCAAAGTGAGGACTTGCTTCATTAACTTGAGAATCCAAAGCCTTTTCAATCCTGGATAATTAAATATTACCTGATCCTGTCTGAATTATCTGAAGCATTTCTACCCTTCTGAGTGATTAATCTCTTTGATTAGTAGTAGATAGAATAAGAAGCCCTAAAGATGTCTGTATCTTAATATACAACCTGACCTGGATAAAGGAGTTTTGAAGATGTGATTACATGAGAACCTAGCAATGAGAAGATGATCTTGGTTGATTCGGGTGTGCCCAATCTTAACACATGGGTCCTTAAGAGAGAACCCTTCCTGGCTGAGTTTAGAGTTAGAGAGAGAAGTGACTACAGAACAGAGCCACACAGAAAGGCAACATTGCTAGCTTTGAACAGGGAGGAAGGGACCTCCAGAAGCTGTAAAGGACAATCAAGGAAAGGGCTTCTCCCTTAGAATCTCCATAAAGGAATGACTCCTTTCTGGGTATTTTTAGCACAAGCAAGATCCCTCTCATTTTTGAGCCACCAAGTCTGTAATAATTTGTTACAGAAGCAAGAGAAAACTCAGACATTTTTCATTACTACTGTTGCACAATTGGCATGGTACCTTAAAAAGATTTTGCTTTAGACCTCAGTGTTTGACAGTTTTCTTGCTTCCTGTTTAATATGCTTCTCCAGGCAGACTTAAAAATAATAGATTCAGTATTAGACCAAATATGCTCAAAATCACCCTGACAGTACAAAGCAATGCCTTCTTTTACTTGTCTACTTTGTTTAGTTTCTTCATTTTGTTAGCACAGAGACTACTCACACAGGGAATTCCTGAACATAAATGAGACGAATCATTTCTCATGAAGGAATAATGTTTTTTTAAAATGAGAGTGGGAAATACCCACTCTCATTTAAAAGGCTGTGTGTGAAGACACAGTTGTTCCTAATGTTTCTGGATACCATGAGGACTGAAAGATGCCACAGTCCTTTGTGACTAAGCAGACCAAAGAACATTATGAAGAATTAATTACCTCTTTCAACACATGAGCATGCTCCATTGAGAAACTCTGATTTGAAACTTTTCAGGGCACTTAGCACAACGAAGAACACAACATAAACATCGGAGGAGAATATTAGATTCTTATGAAATGATCTTATTATTAATAATATTTGATAGATTATAGGTATGTCTTAGCCCTCCTCTGAAAGACACCAGATAATTAATCCAAAGAGCTTGACTATAGGGTAGCAGACATTATACATGGTTTTTAAAGCATGTTTATATGCTCTCTTTCTTTCTTGTTCATGTTTTTTCTCATGTGCTTGTGTTCTCTCTCTCTCTCTCTCTCTCTCTCTCACACACACACACACACACACACACCTTCCTTCTAATAACTTCAAGACCAGACATTTCTCAGCCATAGTTGCACCTTGGTAGGTACATGTACCCAGACCTCTCTTCTAAAGATCTTTTACTTAACTGGTCTGGGTAGGGTCTGGCAGTAGTTTTTGCTGCTTCCCAGAGATTCTGATGGGAAGACATGACAGAACCACTGCTATCTTCAGTAGGAAGCAGGGGGATGAAGCTGCTCCTCAGGTTTGAATCCCATCTCCTCTTTCTGTGCTTAGCCATTTATTACTTCCCATCTCATCTCCCAAAATAAGAAATCTACCACTTAGATGCTTTCCTATCTAGAATCAGCAAATCCATCAGTTCTCCTAAATCCAGTCTATCATTTTGTTCACCCTACTGCCTAAAGAATCATCCTTTCAAAGAAATTTCTGATTATAGGCCCTTTTTTTCTGTCTTGTCACCCAACAGGTACTGGTCTAAGCCTTTGAGTCCCTCCAAACTCTCATGACCTGCTTCTTCAGCCACATCTTTCTGGATAGACACTGGCTGGTCGTTCTGAATTTCTTAAGGTTTTCAGTGGGTACCATGCCCTTTGGAGACTGCATAGTTTCACATGCAAATCCTTATGCTGGATGCCTTTGCCTCCTCTTCTTATTGAGGGCATATCACACACCCTTTAAATGCCACTTTGCTGCTGGTACTTCTTGCCACGTGGGCCACCAGACTATACTCTGTGCTCATACCTCACCCACAGAGCTCCTTCTGGGCTAGGCTTTTCCCTTCCCCAAGACCAGCCACGTTGGGACCAGGCCCGTCTGTTTTTCATCTTCCTATTCTCAGCATCTGGCTCTGATTCTTTTGTTCATTCAACAGTTTTATTAAATATGTAACAAGTGCCAGACATGCTGGCTACATGCTGGAGGCAAAATTGTTAGTAGATTAGAAACCACGCCTGCTCTCTCAGAGCTTTTCTTAAATGGGAGGCAGATAACTGGATAAGCAATCATGATAAAAATAGATTCATCCGAGGGTTAGGAGAAGGTTCATTTATATTGTTAAATTTTGCATTTCTGTATTTTGAAGCTGTTATAAAGAGTCAAATATAAGTTTCAAAAATTATGGCATATTCTATATGTCTACACTTGACCGTTCAAGTTGTATGACAAATGTCAGTGTTTTATTCCCTCGGTTTATCTCTCATAGATTACCTCATTTGGGAATCCCAAATCTGATGACATCATAAATATGAATTGAGGAAAATGGATTCTAAGGGATATTTGAGGCCTAGTAAATGCTAAATAAGCCTTGCTGAGTGAAGAAATGAATAAAGGAATAGTAGTGCCAATAAGCTGATTAAATCAGGTCACCAGTAGGTTATGCTTTTCCATTAGAATTTTGCTATAGACATTAAACAGTTTTGGCAATAAAAAAACTGAAAATCTAGCCATCAAACTCAAGAGGACACATGGTTCAGCTCAATAAAGAAAGAAGAGGTGTGGGTAAGAATATAAATGGGAAATATTGGCTCTGGATTGATGATTGTTGGAACTGGAAAATGAGGGCATTGTAGTTTATTATATTATTATCTCTGTTTCAGCATATGCTTCAGTATTTTTCATAGTAAAGTTAAATTCTAAAATGGTATGAAACATACAAGTCATTGACCCAAGCAAACAATTTTGCTTGAAATAGACACATTATCACTTGTCACATGATTATGATGACCTTTCGATTCTAGCAACCATTTTCAAGTGGATTTAGCTAGAATGGGGTTTCCAGAAGAAACCCCACCAGCATTAGAGTGACCATTCCTGGTTATCATTGTTGTTGCAAGAAAAGCTTTACGTTGTTTACAATCAATCTAGGAGAAGGGGCTACCGTCTCTGATCTAATTACTCTCCAGTTCTGTCCTGCACAGAGTATGCTCTCAATATCTGCAATCTATCCATCATGCCTAGTGCCATGGGATATTTTTGTTAAAGTAGCAACTTCACAAGTTTGTCAGTGCAGATGTTTAGAAGATAATGGAAAAAATCAGAGTGAAAAATCCAAGTTTAACTAACATTAAAGAGAACTATTTTCTTTACATTTCAAAGTCAGGTCAATATTATTGAAGATTCCATGAGTGTTTCTTTCCTATAAAATACCACATTTGGATAGGGGAGAATGGTGGAAGGGGGGACCCTGATCAAAATTCACCAGACACATAAATGGACATGTTAAATTATGACCCGCATATGCAATCATTTGAAGAATAAAAATACTGTAAAATAAAACATAACATGCTTAAATGTGCTAGCTCTAAGACTACTTAAGAAGCTTTTATTTCTCTTTTGACTTCTGGTGAAGTTAAAGAAGATCCTAGAAGAAATATTTCAGAAGTCTTACCTTTTGAATTCTGAAAGCCTGAAGCTCACTGACAGACGTGGCTGTTGAGAAAACAGAAGACATATATTTTTTTTTCCCTGAAAATGTGAAATCGAATAAACCATGAGAAAGAGCAGGGAACTCTTTCTGTAACCAGGGTTGCTGATAAGGGCTGAAGAGTTGTAAGGGCAGGGAGTTACACAGTCTTATGTTTCAGAGTCTGGAAACATTTAATAAACTCTTTTTCTGTTATGAAACAGATAGTATTATGAACTAGGAGCTCATTTCTTTGTGATATTCACTAATTTGCAAGAAAAAATAAAAATCTAAAAGCCACCTAGGAACCCAGGTGAAGCAGATGACAGAGGCTGGGCACTGTGGGGTGACTAAGAGTAAGATTTCCTCCTAATGTAGAAGGACCAAAGCCACAAAGACAGAACATACTTGCTGGTTGGAAAACATGCAGCTTTTATGTATCTGGCCTTTTAAGAGGGTAGATAGAACAAGTTAGCGGTTCTATCTTTTAGCATCAGCTTCCACAGGTTGTCCACATCTATAACCTTCAATCCTAATACCCCCTGTGAAAGCTGAGCAGAGTTGGTCTAATTAGAATTGGCCTATCATCTGCCATGGTTCCTATCTGTGAAGGTTCCTACTACCCAGAGGAGCCTCCTTCCTCCTGTAAATCTCTAGTGTGCACAGCCCAAAGGGGATTGCCAGAGCCTTGGGGAGCACTTTATCATTCCTGTTTTGTTCTGACTCAGAACACAGAGCTATCTCATTTAGAGGATTATGACTAAGGGTGAAAATGATTTTCACATGGAGGCCTAGGACCAAAAGTACATCCCTCTTCCCGGAGATGTCACATTGTTTGAGACTGGTGTGTATGTTAAAATCTCCACCTAATCAACTATATTCCCAGAATACTATAAAGTGTCATATGTTTTAAATGAGCTCAAGTTTTTAAAAAAAACATTATCTCATGATTAATGACAGGCAAAAGGAAAAAAAAAACAAGCCAAGGGCAAAAAACAACCTATTTTGAGAGAGCGAACCCTGGGGATCACAATGACTAAATGGAACTTGCAGCAAAATAGGCCTTTTCAAGGTGCTCTGAGGGCATCACTCTCAATATTACCGACCATAGCGTTCATGAGCACAGTGTCTCTGGAAAGCAGTCTAGCACTCTTTATCAGAAGACACAAATATGGTCTTAAACATTATATTAGTGATACCAAGTCTTTGTTTAAACAAAAAATGTACACAAAGAATTACTACCAAGGCATTAGAAATAACCTTGTTATTGATAATGTAACCTAGGTCGAACAGAAACTCTACATGGCAGAAAAAACGATGAAGGCAAGAAATTCAAAGGATGAAAAAAATGCATATGATAGAGTTACATGAGAAAGATAAATATAAAATGTTATCTGTAGAATAACCTCAACTAATTTTTTAATATTTAAATATATTTATTTAGTAAATTTAATAATATTTACTATTCAACTAAATTATATATATGTATATATATATATATACATATACAGTGTTTTTTCCCTCTGAGGTTTTGATTTTCCTACATTTCAATTACTTAAAAGTTTGAAAATATTCGGAACTGGGAAATTCCAGGTATAAATAATTCATGTGGCAAAGTATGCACCATTCTGAGTGGTGTGATGTAAACTCCTACTTTTTTCCTCTGGTCCGACTCAGGACATGAATCATCTCCTGGTCAGCATATCCATATTGTATAATACTACCCCCTTCTTGGTGACCTGACTTAGTAGCCATCTTGGCTAGCACACCCACTGTTGTGATCTGGTGGAGGGCTTGTATTCAAGTAACCTTTAGGTGGTAGCTTCACACTATATCACAGTGGCAGCATCACTACTTCACCTCATTGTATCAGCCATCATAACAAGAAGGGTGAGTATAATACAATAAGATACCTTGAGAAAGAGACCACATTCATATAACTTCTATGATGGAGCACTGTTTTAATAGTTCTATTTTAGTAGTTCTGTTTAATAGCACTGTTTTAGTAGTTCTATTGATAGTCTTTTAGCTTACTTATAAGCTAAGCTATCATAGATATGGATAAATAGGGAAAAAATAATACATACAGTGTTTGGTACCATCTGTAGATTCAGGTATTCATCAGGGGGACATAAAATACATCACTAAAGATAAGGGAAGATGATGTACATGATACTTTTCTAATGTATATTTTATATAATGTTTCAATATATTTCCTAATGTATAACACATGTATATATGTTAATATACAACCTTTATATATATAACATATATACATAGACTACACACAAATATATTATTTTCTAGTGTGCATTATGCCTAATATCTTCAGATGTAATTTTAGGGGAAAAAAAAACCTGGAAGAAAATGCTCAAAATGCCAACAGTATATTAGCTCTGTTTTATAGGGTGATGGAAGTGGCAGAAATCCTAGATATGCCCCCCAAATATGCTTTCCTCTTCTTCCTATGTTTAACAAAAATCTGAGCTATTGCACATACATGTCAAGAGAAGCTCTTTTCCCTAATGTCCGTTGCAGCTAGGTGTGAGACCAAGTGACACAGTTCCATGGGATCACAGCAAAAGTGTTACACGGAATTTCTAGGTCCTGCCTTCCTCTTCCTTTTCCCCCTCTCCCCAGCCCCTTCTTGCTACCCACATCTGGTTATAGTCAGGTCCTTATGGAGAGCTGCCTTTGACTCTGAAGGCAAGCGGAATTCTAGGAATGACTGAATAATGTGACAGAAGGAGTCTGGTTCCCTGCATGATCTCGTGGAGGAGAGCCGTCTTCCTAGTCCCCGACCACCCATCTCTGCATTAAAAATAAGTTCTAACTTCCTTCCGCCGCCACAAAAGCAGATCTCCATTATGTGCACCTTTTTTAGCCAATAACTATATTAATGGTGTTAGTCTCAATTTTACTTTACAACTTTCAATATTTCCTGTGTTTTCTATACTTTTTTATGAGTAGTTTGATGATCAGAAAAAAATAAAGTTTTGTTTACTAATGTTAAAAACATCGAACCAGGAGCAAAGTTCCAAAATTTTCTTTCTTTCTACATAGCAGAATAAAAATAAAGTCTACAGTTTAGAAGTAGTTACTGTGTCACACGCCAGAGTATAAATCTCACCCACACAAACTGAGTTTTTATGAATCCTTAATCACACCTCATTTTATTTCAAGCCTTTTGAAAAAATAATTTTAACAAGGAAAAATTGTTCTAACTCCAAGACTGTTTTAAAATTTACTTTAAATATGTTCTAAAGAATAAAATTTCAGCCAGGCACCAATGGTTCACACCTATACTCCTAGTGAAGTAAGGAGGCCAGGTCTGGCCGGCGCCATATTGGCCACATGGTGGATGGTAGGGTCTGACATCTTGTCTCCATGCTGGGGGAAGGAAGCTCCCTCCACCCCCCATCACCTGCCTCCCAGGTAATGGACGTGCCTGGACCCCCAGAGGCAGAGGCAGGCATGTGGCTGATAGGTTACTGAATCTGTCAGTCTAGTGCCTGCGACTGGGAATTTCCTGAGGATCTGCCACCTGTGCCTAACTATTTAGGCCCCGACCAGCCTAGCCACCAGGACCCCATGTCATGTGTGTATCTGTGATCATGTCCTGTGTCCTGTCTTGTCTCCAGTCATCATAGCATCCCAGTTCAGCTCTCCATTGGAGCTGAATTGGCTTGTTGGTATTGTTTTGTTCTTTCTTTCCTCTTTAGCGTGTTTCCTAGCAGGGTGATGTGTATTTGAATGCTGCAGGCCTTTGTAACATCTGGTGGCCTGCAGCCTGTTAACTATATAATAAAGACTCCAATATTCTATATTTTAAAATGTGGGAAGCTGAGCTCTGAGGATTGCAGTTCAAAGCCAGCCTGTGCAGGAAAGTCCATGAGACATTCATCTCCAATTAATTACCAAAAAGCTGGAAGTAGAGCTGTGGATCAAGTGGTAGAGTACTAACTAGCCTTGAGCACAAAAATTCAGGGACAGCACCTGTGCCCTAAGCTCAAGCCCCAAGACCAACACACACACACACACACACACACACACACACACACACACCAAAAAAAAAGGAAGAATAAAACTTATGACAACACACTATAATCATACAGTAAGAGGATTCCCAACTAGGCACGGTGGTATATAACTGTAATCATAGCACTCAGGAAGCAGAGACAAAAGGATCACAAATTCAAGGTTAACCTGGGCTATAGACTTGTAAAGTGAATTTTGCATCAATTTTGTAGGTTCCTACTTTTAATTAAGGCCCTATAATGTTCTTCGTATAGAGTCATAATGGCTAATGCCCACAAAATTCCACTTGTTCAAGACCACATGGATGTCAGTCAACCAAGTGCTAAGTGTGTGCTTTGCCTTTATCTTCCTCTGGATCCCTAACAGATTTGGCAGAGCTCCCACAACTTTGCCGATCTCCTTGGTGAACCATGGGCCTATACTATAAGACCATTGTCCAAGATAAAGGAATCACACTCAGTCAATACAACAAAGAAAGGATATTGGGTCTACTGAGGAATCAGATGAGAAACAGTGGCCTCATTAAAACCAGCCTTTAACTATATTAGGGTAATACACCGAGGATCATTTCAATCTGCGATAATGTTAGGCTAGCTGCACTTGGTGCCTTTTAGAGGCTCATTACAGTCCTGTACACAGGCAAACAAGGCACTTCCTTCACCTTAGAGATGTACCTGTAATTATATATGAGCTAAAAGAAACTATTTTGCCCTTTTCCACAAGGGACTATCAATTGGTCCTTTTCTCCCCAGTGAACCACAATACCCAATACTAACATGGCTAGCCTAGATTCAATAACAAAGGAAGAATGCCAGAGCTTCTCCATTTCCCTCAGGAGACAGTGCCAGTGTGTTCTCAAGAAACCCCTGAACTTTCTCCTGCAATAGGCAAATAGGAGCCAATAGTCAAAGCTTTGAGTCTGCAGTTTCTCTCCCCCTCTTCTTCTCATCAAGAACATAAGCAAGCCAACTCAACAGGCCTAATTACC